CGATCGCTTTCCCTCTCTCTCTCTTCTTTCCTATGGGCTCTACATTGTCCAAAATTACAAAGTAACCATCAGATAATTAACATAATACTGAAAAATGAAAATTATTATGACCGTAATTTACTTACTGGCATTGCAAAAACCACGAGAAAATATACACCGGCAAAGACATCATCATCACGGCCTGTGTGACCAATATTTTCCTCATAAATTATTATCACAAAATGCAAATAATACTACTAACAAGAAAGTTTAATGGATTAAATTAAAATAATTGTCAATTATAACGTAAGACAGAGGATGCTAGTGTTGGTCTCATACACACTTACACAGTACAAGAAACGGGAAAAATTTTCCTCCTCGGGTGGTATACAGTTAATGGCATCCTTTACAATTAGCACCGCGATCAACTGCCATCAATTCATTAATAACAAATATTTTTTTTTTGTTTTCATAAAAATAATAATATTACCTAACATTTAAGAATAAAGAGATTCACACAGATTAAAAAAAATAAAAATAAAGATGTCCTAACATTTAGTGAAGGCAATTTGTCATAGCAATTAATAAAGATAGAGAGGAATGTAAAATAATTAAACTTTTCAATATAAGGGTCCGTTTCTTATCCTCTTTTTTTTTTTCATAAAAAATTACCTTTATATATATATATATAAAAGAATGACTTTTAAAAAATTTCTGTGTTTGTTTCAATTTTAAAAAAATAGAAACCGCAAAGAATATAAAATCTGATTATAATTAGAAATCATTTTAAATAGTTTCTCATAGAAATATTTTATTTTTAAAATACTTTTTATAATTATAAACAAACATAAATTACTTTTTAAAACAAATATATAAAATAATAATTAATCACCAAATTAATTTTATTCCAGAACAACTTTTTTCTTAATATGTAACGAATGGGCCCAAAAACTCCTAATTGATTTTCTATAAAAGTTCGTGAAAGAAATTAATAATCATGTATATATGAAGATTGATTTAATTAAAAATAAGTCTTAAACATGAATGTAAGATTAATAGTCATGATGAACTGAGACAGTGACAACGTATAGAATTGATGAGTGTGAATTAAAGTAATCTTACGAAGAGGAGTGACATTCCAAGCATCATGCCTCCAGTGGGTTTTCTCCAGTTGAAGTCTTTATTCATTGATGCGATGACGCTGTTGATGCCACGCTCTAACAGCACCAAAGGACGCCGAAATTGAGTGTTTGTTCCCGGAATCCTCCAATATTCCTCACTTCATAGAAACAAGTTGTATTTTCAGATTAATATTAATTCATAATAAATTTTATAATTAAGTACTTTTAACAACATGTTTGAATATAAGTTTATAAATATTTTAAAAAGAAAAATTCTACTAAAAAATATTTTTGTATTTTTAACACTTATAAATTGTATCCGGATAAATTCTATGTTAATTATTAATTAATACAATTTGAGAACAATTAATGCACACTCGAAGACAGATAGCTATATTATAATTAACTTGCCTCATCTCTGTGTGATATCGATCATCATCATCAGAAAGAAGTGCCTCAATCGGAAAATCTGGATTGTAAGGCTGCATATCCGAACCATGAAGAAGAGAAGCACTATAACTTTTTCCCTTTGATACATTCATTGCAGTCTAAAATAGAACTCTATTGAAATGAAATTACAAGTACTCTCTAGCCCTAAAATTAACAAAACAAAGAAAAGGGCAATAAATAAACCCTATTGAAATGAAACAAGTAGTCTCTAGCCCTAAAATTAACAAAACAAGAAAAAGGCAATAAATAAACCCGTCTTTTTGTAGTACATGTATATGGAATTTACTAATTTTGTTCAACAGGCAATGAATATTGCAGCAAAGTTTTTTTTGTTTTTTTTTTTAATGATAACTTAATAAGCAATATGAAGCAATAGATGAATAGGCAATATAAGAACACTTTGCCATATATGAATGCAGTATCTATATTATTTCCAAAAGTAAGCATAAACATGAAAGATCTCAGATTCAACTATACACATAATTATTCAGGTGGATCCATACCTTCCTGCAAATCTCACACAATATGACGCAGCCTTTGGAATTGCACCATTGGTCAATGCAGCTCCTGTGAACATACTAAGACACGAGGAGGAATGAGAAGGAGATTCACATTTAATTTAGCAGTCAAACCATTATAAACTTGTAACATGAAAGCAACGGTAGAAAAATTATAGATCATATTTATATTAACACTACTATTTAATATTTGCAAAGAGCTAGCTGACATTATTAAATCTAGTCAAGAAACAGCACTTTATGTCAAAATATTTAATTATATGATTTAGGCTTACCCAAATCGTGGATAAAGCTAATCAACATTGGTGGAGCTATTTTGGCTCTTGAGAACCAAAAATTGACTATTACTATTTTCATAACATTTTGTCGCAATACTTTTTACAACAAGAGGTATATAAGATTGAGACAAGATGAATGATGTAATGTAATGTCCATACATTAAATATCGTGGGCCGTGGCAATAGAAGAACAAAAAATAATGTTATAATGGAATGAGATTTTCATGTTAAACTCTCTGCGTAATAACACATTCATAGACTATTCAGCAGAAAAGCACACTCAGACTCAATTTGGTACGTTTTATACGTTTAAATTTAAATACAAATTATGATATTTATATATATGTAATGACTTTTGGTCGTAATTACATACCGCATTAGCTAGTAACGGCTGCAGCGTAAATGTCAATTTTAAAACCTTCCTTATAACGTGAATAGAGTCAATAGTAAGTCATCCAAAACCAAAAGGGAAAAAAAGTGAAACCCACACACACAAATATTAGCCACGTATATTTAATAATTAGGGTAAAATTTTACTACATATATATACCTTCAAGCTGCCAGTGCAATTGCAAGGTGATTCCAGTTTAGAAACAAAGTCCTCCTCCCTACAGTAGCGGCATTCTCCCTTCTCTTCAGTTTTTTGATTCTTGGCTTCACTCTTCTCTTCAGGTTTTGGGATATTTTCCACATAGTCATCGGTTACAGGCTTTTCTTCCTTTTCAGCTTCAAGTGATGCACTCAATTCTGCTATGGGAATTGAAATGTGGTGTTGAGTGGTTGAGGATCCCATGTTATCAACCTGCATCTATGAGGGAAATTAGATATAGGCATATAGCTAAAGAAAAATAATAGTGTGTTTATTTTGGTTTATGATATCATAAAGGATAGAATGGTTTATAAGGTTGGCACGGATACAAAGAAACGTATATGTTTCTTTGATGCCAAACTAAAAATAGGGAAAGTAGAAAAAGAAAACTGCTTTTCAATCGTATGGAACGAAACAAATTTATCTATTATTTCTTTGCTTCCCAAAGTTGGTGATATCATCTAATTCTAGTATATATTTTTTCAATAACTTGTAACCCCAACTTGAATTCAGGAAGAAAATGACAGAGTTCTATTAACGCCTTCAAAACACAAAACGTATATTGACCATGTTCATGTATGAACCAACTAAAATCATGAATAATAAGAAAATAAGACAAACGAAGCCTGTCTAATTAAGCCAATTGATCATGTACATGCAACAATGATCCATAGATCGCAAAAAGAGAGAAATGAAAAGGGTAAAAAAAGGAGAGTTTTGTACAAAGGTTATTTCAAAAACTCAGTTCAAAATCTTATGTTTCATGCAAAAAGAAAGGCCTAGTTCATTAAAAAAAATGCTTCATGAAGAAAACTAACAAAAGACACCGCCTCATAAATTATAAGTATAGATAATACTGCAAAAAAAAAAAAAATTAAAGAATCAGTAAAAAAATTTAGTGATAAAAAATACTTTTAGTTTGTTACAAGCACAAAAATTTTAATACATATAAACGATTTGGTCACTATAATTATAATTTTTCTTGTAATATACAGTTTTAAAGATGACCAGATGCATGTACCACAATGGTAACAATAACATTTGCTTATAAATTAATTAACCCCCCAAAAAACATCATACAGTAACTAATTAAGAGCATCAGCAAAGGCCACACGTACTCATTTCTGAAACAAAAATAAAACTTTGTAGCCAACTAAGATGAGAATGGAGAGAGTGTGAACCAATATAGAGAAAGTGATGACCAATTAAATTTGACTCCCCTATTGCCAGAATCAAAACCTTAGAAGAAGAGAGAAAAATATTTTACCCTGTCTCTGCGATATATCTCCCTAGCTACCAATCTCTTGCTTAGTTGAATTCAGTGTGTGCTGAGCACAGCAGCAGCAAGTATCTATTTATACTACTTGTAACGGGTGAGTTAGCTCTCACTATTCACTATCATAACCTGATCCATGTAGACCCCTAAAATTGTCCGGGTCGGAAA